AAAAAAAAACAGGGTGATTCGTCTTGTGGCCATAATTGTTCGCATTCATTACGTACATACGTTTCTGTCTATTTCCATATTCCATAGCATGAATACAGTTGCTTCTGTCTGTATCTACATTTTTTTTTTCTTCTGGCGCGGAACTGTGGTGCGCAGGGCCAATCTAAAAGTTCAGCGACACCACACACGCCACACCACGCTTGATCCAGTGCTCTGGATCCACCTTGGTGGGGATGCTAATCGAGAGCACAAAGTTTGTGGAGTGACCCGTCGTGCTCAGCGTACCGGCACGTGTCAGTGTCTTGTACACCGGGCACACATAATCGTTGGGGTCACTGACGCGGTCGACCATCGGGTCGAGGTGCACGAGCGGCATATTCACGTACAACTCCTTTGGCCGCGACTCCGTGAGAGTGTGCTCCGCCGCGTCCCACCGCGCCCCCTCCAAATACATACCGTACACAATAGCGCCGTCTGGGGGAGCCGTGACGTTTGCAGGGTCCATCTCCTCTAGCAGCGTGAAGCGGAACGAGACGGAGTCAATCGCGACGCTGGTGCGACGCGCGTAGTTCTGCAGCGTGCCGGTGAGGAACGCTTGGGGGAAGAAGAATCCGCCCATCCAAAAGGCATTCGGTACGCCCTCGTCGTNTTCTGCAGCGTGCCGGTGAGGAACGCTTGGGGGAAGAAGAATCCGCCCATCCAAAAGGCATTCGGTACGCCCTCGTCGTACCACATCTGAATAAACTGAACTCGTTTCACCAGGTCGTCGACCCAGCTTGAGAGCGGTTTCAGCGACGGGTACGCCAGCGCGGACCACGACGCGGGAACAGCATTAATAAAGAAACTCGATCCGACCGCCTCCAGCTCCGCTGACATGACAACCTCGCCCCGCACAGCTTTGGAAAACTCTGAAAGACTTGTCTGAACAAAGCGAAGAAGACGATTGTAACGCACTGCTTCTTGTACAAGGACGGTGTTCATAGACTCTTCGTACCGTGTAGGGTATTTCGCGGAGAACTCCTGAATGTTGAACGTATGTGGTAGCTTCTCCTGAATACCTTGTGCCGTCCTCGTAAGCATCTCCTCACGACTGTGGTGCGATGACCCAGATTCCTCGCGCGACACGAGAGAGAGGATGGTGGCCAAGATGCTGGCACTCTCGTTCTGTGCGCAGGTGATGTCGGCATTGTCATGGAGACCAAAAACTTCTGGCGCTGGGTTCAGAGGCCATGAATTGAGGTAGTCCAGATAATACGCACGGTTACATGGCTCAATGGTGCGGTAAATGCCGGAGGGAGAGAAGGCGTAACCTTCCCCCAGGACCTCAGGGCAAATAAAATTCTTGATGAGAGCCATCAAACAGCGTCGGTCCCAGTCATCAGTCACACGACCACCATAGTTAATCTCACCTGTGAGGAACGTCAGCACATCAAAGGGGACTTCATCATATAAGCTCATGAACTTACGCAGCTGAAGGAGGCACACGTTGCGGTCCGAGTCATTGAATTCATAGGCGATATTAAATCCCAGTGAACCAAACTTTCGCCGCTCCTGAATAACACCGTGGAAGAGGCAAAGGGCAAATACCATTTCTTTGAACTCTCGTGGCTTGCTAGAGTGGTCGAGATCCTCATCGCCCATACCGTAATACGACCGCGTCACGTTGGCGCGAAGTCCCATCGGCGGTTCATTCGTCATCTTGACAGATATCTGCAGGACCGCCACAGGGAATGACTCGGACGGCATAGATGTGAGCCACAAGCGGAATTCCTTCCGCACTGTCTCAAATGTGAAGCTCTCCACAATAGCCTCAAGTGTCGGCATCCACGAAGTCGCAAGATGACAGTTCTGCAGGAGGACCCATTGGCCACGCTCTCGTCCGTTTCTCAGTAATTCCTCCGCCTTTCGACCCTGACCCTGTCCGAGTGAAACTTTGTCCATTTTCTTCGCCATACGCATCTGCTCAGCAAAGCGAAGAAGATCATTCATAGGATCGGATCCGGGTGAAATGATAAAGATCAGTGGTGTGAGGCACGTGCTGTCCTTGTAGGCATCCAATAGGTCGAATTGTGGCACAATGATAAACCGCTCCCCCATGAAGTGTGTCACGAAATCCTGGATCGCCGGCGCCACCTTGTCCTTGCGGAAGCAACGAGTAACGATGAGGCGCTGCAGGTTCGTTTCTTTTCCTGACCATTCGCCCGCCAGAGCATGCTTGTGGGCAGTTTGACTATCGAAGAGCAATTTGTAGTGTGAAATGTTAGCGGCCACGTGCCCAGCGAAGCCTGTAAAATTGGGGAGGTTGGCACCGACGAACTGAATCTCGTTCCATGAGTTTTCTGTGAGCCACTCCGGTGCAGGGTTTGGTGCGCTGCCACCCCGCCCCGTCGGTCCCGTCAACAGGTAGCGATACTCCTCGTTGTTGAGGCCGCTGTCCTGCTGCAGGATGGACGTGCAGAGGTAGAAGGAGAAAGTCAGCTTGTGTCGCTCAAACAGCGAGCGGCATACGTTGGTGTAGAAGGAGTATGTGAAATACTCCGTCAAGTTCGCGACCCGAACCTCAATGTCGTCCGCAGTTTCCGTGTTGTCGACAGCCGCCAGCACGAGGTTAATAAACCACTGAAGAGAGAACTGGTACATGGGGTCCACCATGGCGAGCTCCGATACGCAAAAGAAAAGAAGCGCCCCGCGGTACGCGTGTGGGCGGTACTTATTACGTGTTTCGTCGATCGTCTTCTCCGTCTCTTGTGCACGTTGGAGGTCATGCTTAATCTCTGTTGATTTGGCTTTGCTCTTTTCAAGCGCCTCAATGAGCTCCTCCTGATCGAGGATGTCACCCTCCGCCTCTTCCAGCATGCGCAGAATGTTCTCCTGCATTTCCTTCAAATCCCGATTCTTTTCCGCGCAGTCGCGAGTGAGTTTTTGCTTCTCCTGCTCCAGATCGCTGCGCTCCTTTTCCACCGTCTTCCCAAGGAGCTGGTCTTCTAGTCCACTCCGTGTAATGAAGAAGTTTAGGAGGGACACAGTCACAATTGTCTCTGGCGTGTATGAAGGATTTGGCAGCTTCGTCGTCATGTATAGCTTGAAATTCTTGTCGTACGGTATAGCAGCGTCGCCGACACGGATGTGTGGGGTGCTACCAATGAGGAACACGTTGCGCAACAGAATAGGCTCTAGTGATGGTTCAAGCGTCTCGCCCACATTCTCCAGCAGGCATGGGAGACCAAGACGAATGGCGCCCTCCACCACCTTCATGAATTTCTCATCGGATGCCTTGCATACTTGCAGATTATCATCCCTGTGGAGGTTTCGAATCCACATATTGGCCTGACCTTGTGGATCAATCAACAGCGGCCATGTGCATGCGTTAGTGAGGATAATGGCGTTTTCGGTTGACAGATGATCCTGCGGCAGCCCACAAAGCTGCCACTCCTGTATTTTCACAGGTTCTCCCGTCGTTGATACGAGATCCACATGCTCACTCGTCTTGATGCCGATGTCTGCAAGAATGATTCTCCACGATTCCAGCAGATCTTTCCGGTACGGCCCAGTGAGAGGGCCAAGGTATGAAATCGACGCGGCTGCCACCACCATATCACCTGACACGCATGTTTCTTGCGCCCTGTACTGCGTGACGAGCTCCGTCCAACGCACCTTCTCGCCGCCTAGCCCTGCGATGAGGCGGGCGGCACGCTGCAGTTTTTGGCTCGTCCGCTCCACCTCGTTCTCTAGCTGTGTTTGCGTCTCCACAGCCTCGGCAAACTCCCGCTCGAGCGTTGCGACGGCCTCAATCACGGCGTCGAGGCGCATGCGTGTTCCAGCTAGGGCCTCGCTGACACGCCGCAATTCGCTTTCTGCCTCGGCGAGCCGCTCACGCAACGGTTGGATTTCTCGGTTCACAAAAAACCATTTGTACATCGCCCGTACCCACTGACACATGGCCATGCATGGCACTGACACTGTTCGCACCTTCTCCGGCTGGAACTCTTCGTTGTCGTAGTACGCGCGCACCTTTTCGATGAGTGGCATATCCATCGCTTCTCGGTCAAATCCGCCCTTCCCTGGGGGCTGCACCAACGTGTCGAGAAGTTGATTGGCGTTTTTCATATAAGATTTAGCGCACTGCCACCAGTCAGGCACCTTCTTACCACCTGGCGGACCGCTATAGAACTCCTTCGGGCAATTACCGAAGGTTAGCAGCAGTGCAACAGCCTCCATGACATACTGCACACCCTTTGGTGGGTTTTGGTACTTGTTCAGCTCCGAGATCTCCGCCGCCTTGATCTTTGACAGCACCTTGACGGCCTCTTGCAGTGCTGGCTCGGCTTCCGCGAGGCGGTCGGCGCACTCACGACGCATCTTGGAGCACTCCTCTGCCTTCGCTGTTGCCATAGCTTCCTCCTGGCGCGCTGAAACCTCTTTATCAGCAGCATCTTTACGGTCTACTCGCAGTCGCTCCATAATATTTTGAATTTCAATCTTCTTTTCCTCCAATACCGGTTGTTGCTCCTTCAGTTGTGCTTCAAGTTGCACAACACGCTCTTCCGTGTCACGGAGCTTCTCTAAACCATTCTCTAGACGACTACACTGCTCCTGCACGAAACGCTTCCTGTTCTTCACGAGTGTTGTGTAGTTGTTGAGAAGGGAGAGGTACGACGTCGGCGTCACGTATGACCGGCGGCGTGTCTCCACAAAGAAACGTTCTGTCGTCTCCGCCGCAGACAAATGGAGTGACTTGAAACACTCAGAGAGGCCTTCCATCTCCTCATCGCCGATGCTGAGGGTAGAGCTTGACAGCTGAGCCTTAGAAACAGAGAGGAGCGCCTCGCCAGGCCATTCAGCAAACCAGTCAATTGTACAACATGTAATCAACGCTGGAAACATGCGCAGCCGTGTTCGGAAGACTTCGCCAATGGGTGAAAATGCCAACACAATGTGGAGATTCGAGCGTACCTCCTTAATGAACCGCGCGTATACCGATACCTTCGTCGTTGGTAGGTTCTCACTTATGCAGACGCCCTTAAACTTGTCATTGATGAGCTCAATATCCTGTTCCTCAAACAAATTAGGGACATCGCCGGAGGTTAAGAGCGCCGCAACATCCTCCATGAGTGTCGGGTGGATCAGCTGTGTGTCAGAGAAGAGGAACGTGCGTTTCTTGTCATTCTTACCACAGTCGAGCAACAAACGTGCCAATGCTTCATGCCATTCCTTCACACCGAAGTTCTTGGTAAACTCAATGGTAAAGACGTCCATCTCGGGTATGAGGTAACACGCAAGCCGCGTCAACGATTTCCTGCCAGAGCCACCAATTCCTAACAACAGACAATGACCGTTTGGCAAACACAGCACGCGGGCAATGCGGCAAACGTGCTCTATAGCATCGAGGAAGAGCACGAGGTCCATAGCGGTCTCGTTGGCATCGTTGTAGGCACTCAGCTGATCATTGAAAAAGGCAGCAAGTGCTGTCATGTCACTGATCTGCTGGTAACTTCGCTCACCAGTTGACATAAAGTCGCCAAAGATGAGTCGTCCCTCCGGCACCAAGGCATTGTAGCCACCTTCGTAACCAATCTGTTTGATCTCATCATCAAGGAAGGAGATGAACTTATTCCTGTCGTCTGTACATATGAGACGATCGTAGAAGACGCGTTGCATCTCATGCATCCACTGTTTTACCAGCACCTCTTGGTTTGGCAAGCCCTTGGCATTATTGGCATAGATCATAGGGAATACTCGCATTACATCGCGCATGTTGAAGGAGTAATGAACGTGGGACGGCGTTGGCAGGAAGGTTTTTCGGCAGCGCCCAAAGACACTTAGTGTACCATCCACCAATTGTTTTACACACCCAATGATCTCCTCCCGCACACCACGCTGACGCAGACCACCATTGACTATAGTATTGAGAATAGTGCGCTTCGACACCTCTGACATCTCCGGGAATGACACGTAGTTGAAATACCGCATTAGACGGTTTGACACTCGCGTGCGGCTTCCTCCAGGCGGACCCATTGCCATCACAAAAGAGGCATCAATGATGGAATTCCACTTAATCCCACCCGTGAAGGTGAAGAGGCCACCATGACCCAGCATCTGGCGCAACAGCTCCAGTGGTGGTTGCGCACCGTAGCGCTCCTTCTGTGGCAAGTTTGCATCATCAATAAAGATCAAAAAGTGTTTACCAACGGGAGCGCCATACACATGAGATCGACGCTTGTCAAACTTGGACATAAGCGAGTCCTGCAGCACACCAGCCTTTGTCTGTGGTGAGAAGGTAAAGGTAAGACCAAGGAAACGTTGTGGCAGACCCCCAAGCACAAGATCGCTCACGGAGACCGTCTTGCCGGTGCCAGTAGGGCCCACCGCCACAACATTCACTCTTTGCTGAAGTAAGTGCTGCAGCACGTACTTTTGTCGTGTGTTGTCAATGGTGGGCACCATGACGTCCTCAAATTTTGTGGTGCGCCCAATCTCGCAGGTCTCACACAACTCTTCCCAGTGCACCCAATGCGGATCCACCTCGTCCTCGGGTGACGCAGCATACATGAAGCAGTAATCGTACAGAATCCCATCCTCAGGAATAGAATCTGCATGGTTGTTCTTTTTTGCCATTGAACGTAGCATCTCGCTAAACATTTCACGTCCACTCTCATCACAGGTGGCGCCGATGCTCCAGATGACGGACATGAAAAACAGCGGCGTGACACACTTCACAAGAATCTCTGTACGCTCTGGGCTCAGCAGTGGCTGCCCTGGCTGCGGTTTGGGTCCCGCAAAAGACTGCATGTATCCATCCATCAGGCGGAAGAAGGAGTGCACGAGACCAATATTCGTTGAGGGTACATACTCCTTTAAGTTGCCCCGCACAAATTCAATAAGCTCATCTACGTAAATGCCGATCAAATCCACAATGCATTCACGCTGTGACGCCACATAGTTCGGAAGCAAGTCAGCCCACGTAGCGGCGCTAGCGTGTGTAGGAACGCACGTCTTTGGCTCCATGTAAATCATACCGCAACGGGACACGGTGGCAGGGGACGCGACAGCGAGGTCTTCCACTTCGAACATCATCGTCATGTCACGGCTCATTTGAATAATTTCACCGGACACAAGGCAGAGCTTCTTGTTATCATCCAGCACAGTGTTCATAGATTCAATCCAGAGGGCGTCAACAGGGCCGTCAAACATAACCCAATGCTTGCCTTGCTGATTCCCTTCATCGCCGTACTTGGCAGCGCGGCGGAAGAGGACACACAAAATACCGTCTTTCCACTCAGCGTTCTCGTCGTAGGCACCATAGAGTTGATCCATGGTGACAGCCTTCGGGTTGCAGATGTGTGTGTAGACCTTCATATATTCCCTCACACCGACATCTTTGCCTTTACTCTGCATAATTGCGCATTCCGAAAGAGCATTCTGGAGTGCTGTGTACGCCATTGTTTTCCCACTTCCAGCGGGTCCGACCAACATTAAACCGTGTCGTAGCGTCGTGATGTCATAAAGCTGCAGGCATTTATGAATAAAGGCGGGGACGGGTTGCAACTTGTCCGCTGTGACAACTTGGCGAAGTGCATCCACAACAAAGCCATATTCAGTGGATGGGAGTTTTGTACCAGGGAACAGGTCGCTGATGATTCCCTCGAAAAGGACAATGTCATCCTGAAGAAACTTGGGCAAGTTGGAATCACGTAGGGCGCGCAGCAGCAGAAGGTCCTCGTCACCATTGGGATCCTCCCGTTTGTTCAGCCCAGCGGCGGAGATGACAGTATTCACGGCACGCATACCAAAATCGTAGTGATCCTGTGAAGAGAGCTGCTCGGAGCTCAACTTAAATGTCATCACCATCTTCTGCGCCAGACTGCGGGCCTTCTTGTAACCGTAAGAGAATAAACGAATTTCGCCAATCATGGCGTAATCCGGCACCATGCACGCCACGGGGCGGAACAGAACCTTCAAGTTATCTGGCAGCTCTGTACGGCCTGCATAGCCAGGATTCATGGTGATAAAGACTGCATGTGTCGGGTCAACAACCACTTCGCTTTCCTCAAAGATAATGCGGTATTGTTTCGTCAAGCACGCCTGCTGCAGGTCTGTCACCTGCTGCGCAACCACAGAGAGCACCTCCACATCAATACGGTTAAACTCATCAAAGCACGCCCACGCACCAGACCACGCGAGACCCTTGAAGAACTTCGCCATTGAGAGACACGTCATACCTTCCTGACAATTGAACACGACGCACTGCTTTGCGAGAGCCTTGGCCAAGTCCTTTGTCGTCTCCGTCTTTCCCGTACCTGCAGGTCCTGCAGGAGCACCACCAAGGCACAACGCCAACGCCCCTGTGAGGGTAAGATAAATGCGATCAGTGAGTGGCGTCACGACGAGGCGACCCGTGTTGCCAAGGTACTCGCCCCCATACACAAAGTGCGCGTCCACCTGCTTGATGTGGCAGAGCTTGTCTTCAGAATCAAAGTAGAAGCGTAGCTGTTTAATCCAGTCAAAAGAGTGCACGGAATCGACGCCATGATGCTGCATCGCATCCACAGTGTCTTTTGCGTGGACTTCTACTGTAATGAGGGCACCCATGTTAATGCGTTCACGCGGCTTCAGAGGCGACTGCACAACTTCCACAAGTTCATCCAGCTGGTGCTCGAGCACTTTGTAGAATGCACTCACGTTCTTTTCCTTCGTCAATCCCTCTTCGCATCCGTTGGTCCAAAATATCTGTGACACGGCAATGATGCACTGTGCAGGCCAGCGCAAAACCCATCGTGGCCGCGGTGTGATGGGGTAGTCATAGAACGCCTTCTTCACTTGGTCGTGCACCGCATCCTTCATCATCGACTCGACGGAGCGCAGCCACAACTCCACGTTGCCCTCAGGCAAGAGGGGTTTTACACATGGCACGTGTTCTCCTTCACCACTGAAGAAACCATTGATTTCGTCGTGCTCCGTCCACGCCAGCCGGCTAATGAACTCGAAGAGCTTACTTATGTGTGTGTCGATGCGCCTTACCTCCTTGGATTGCGAGAGAATCTCAAGCAGCTCCTCATCTGACAGGAAGTAGAAGCGTGGGAAGGCCTGACGCTTCTCCGCCAGATAGTCATTGAGGCCACGCTGAACTTCTTCCAGGGTACGATTAGCCTCCCGCAAACTTTCTAGTAGCTTGCTCGTCCCGATGCAGAAATCCAAGACGTTTGGCTGGCTATGGACAGTCCCCATAATGCGGCGCCATGTCTTGTCTATACGCTCAAACAACTTCGAGAGGCGCGGCAGCTGCAGTGCAATGTCCTCCGAATTGAAGATAGGCTCCAGGTACCGCCATGAGCGTTGGAATTCCAACCACTGTTCGAGGATATCGGAAATGAGGTTGAGCGAGCGTTCCCAATCGGTGATGGCCTCTTCGTAAAAGGCCTTGAAGGGTGAAAACTGGAGCTGCTGGGTTAGATTGAGGTGCTCATCAAGGAGTTCCACAATTTCTGTGGCGTCCTTAAGTATAAACGTGCCGGTCGCCTTGTACGGTTCAATAATAAACATCCTGCTCTCCCACTTGGCGCGCATGTCTTTGAGGGTCTTCTCAATCTGTGCCTCCTTTCCGGCGACCTCGCAGTGGGCCACGATGAGGTCTTTATGCTCCAAGAGAGGCTCAATGTCGCTGAGCAGCATTATGGTCTCACCAGGCACGAGGTTCATACCCAACTTTTCCGAAAGGCCCTTCCAGTGTCTTTCCTTCATACCAGGTTGACGCAGTGATGTCACGACTGGCACCCACGGCTTAAACTCCTCCACTCTACCACGAATATCCTCCACAATTTTCAACGTAGCGTTTTTATCCTTGAAAGTCTTGGCGAGCTGTGTCATGGTTTTGAAAGCGTTCAGCACAACCGATTCAATCTCGTCGGGGTCAAGAGAGTCAAATGGGTCATTGTGCCAGCGGCGGTAGCCATCCTGCCACTGGTATGCCGTCAACCATAAGTCACTGTATGGTTTGAACTCCTTCTCGAGCTCGAACACGTTCCGGTAATCGGTGAGTTTATCACCAAACAGCCGTTGATCGCTGTTGATAGAGCGCGCCTCTTCGATGCGCTTGCGAATCTCGACACTATTCATCTTGACTTCTGCAGCAACTCTTTCCGCCTCCGAGACGTCAGTGTACTTTGAGAATGTGGCCACGACACGCTGTAGGGCGTCGAATTTCTTGCTGAAGTCCTCGCCCTCCTTCTGCAGACGTGCATGCAACTCTTCCTCCACCCTCTCGAGCTGCTTGTTGGTGTCCTGTATGCGGAGAGTCAGCTGACGCGGCCACGCAATTGCTTCCCACTTCTGCCGCGATTCATCGTCGCTCAATTCATACTGGAAGCCTTCGAGAATCGTGTAATACTGTCGCATGTCTTCAATTTCGACGGAAAGTTCGACGATGCGTTCTGGTGTATTTACGATGAAGTTCTTCAGCTCGTACAGTTTTTCCGGGTTCTGCGGCTGTTTTTCCAGCGTACGCACAATTTTTGTAAACTCGTCCCGAATGTATGTTGTTTTGGTTTTGGCCATCTTGCATATTAGGTTCATGACGAGCTTTGCGAGATCCTGCTCCTTGTTTGCCATGATGTGGCCAAACGACTGACAGTCAACAACGTAATTTCCAACAGTAATGTACGCTGGAAGCTTTTGAGCCACTACTTTCTTTGCCTTGAGGTGCCGTCGTATTTCTTCCTTCATCTCCTCGGTAGTGTGCTCTTCCTCCGCGTAGGCGGCAATGAAGTCCTTCCTGTCGAGCCGCACCAGTGACAAGAGGTCATCGTACGTTTTCAGATAGTCACGTAGTGGTTGCATGGACTTCTGCAGCGCGTCACGCACGCGACCTCGCAGCAGCACCACCCGCTCTTCTTCCTGCTTCACGGAGTCGAGGAAGGGTCCTTCACCGTCTCGCCGCCAGAAGTACTGCGACATGACATACTTCTCCACCTGAGGTATAGCCTCAGTACAGAAGATAGCACTGTTGAAGAGTTGCACAATAGTTTTCTCGAAGTCTTCAAAGGAGATAGAGTACGTGAAGCTCCCGTCCAGCTCTGCAAGGCCAATGGTGAAGAGCGGCTGTTTTTCTACACAATCATCAGCATCACTGCCAGGCCATTTGTTTTCAACATTGTTCATGTCAACAACATTAACAGTGAACTCCGAAACCTCCTCAAAGAAGACGGTGAAGTTACCCAAAGAGGTGTAGACGAGTTCGAACAGCGTGTCTTCCATCATGAACTTTACTGTGGTGAAGAATTTTTTCAGCTTCGACATTTCGTAGATGTCTTGTTTTGATTCATGCACGTTCAGCCAGCCTTTTCCAGCAGATGTGAAGCCATTCTTGATCACATCGCAGATGTTGTCCGTCCACTCACCCTTGAGGTATTTGGCCATTGCGGACATGTGGTCTTGCTGCATTTTTTGAAACTCAGCAAGTTGCATTTGGCGAGCCTTTGGAAGGCTGAAGAGACTACCCTCGAGAACTTTTATACATTCACTCCGCACCCCTGTCAACGCAGTTACCACCTCCGGCTGGGTGTAGTATGTGGAGAACGTAAAGGATCGCTCGCGCTCCTCAAAATCAAAGTCCCCGATGGGTATCACGGAGCTTGGGTTCCCCTTTTCCGTCCGCTGAATTGCTACATTCGGCCCACGCACAAGTTCCTGTAGACTCATCTGCGTAGCGTTAGCAACCATGCGCAGCAGCACCTCGTCACGCTGCATGCGGTCCTGTAGGAGAATTCGGTTGTGGCTGCGCTGCCACTCCAGCGTTAACTCCGCAATGAGCCGCTCGGCACGCTCCTCAACGTCAGGAAAGACGGTTTTGCTCAAGTTTGGAATGCCAGTACCAAGTTGGCGCAAACGGGCACTCAGGCCTCTGTCAAGGCCGCTCAGTCTCACCGTCGGCATAGCATCGCAGCAGAGGCGATAGCGAATCCATGCCATCGCCTTCTCTCGCTGCTGCTGCGCATTGACGAGTCGCTGCACGTACACAACGGGGTCCTCCGCAAGAAGGCGAACAAAGAAACGCGGCACTACAAGTGGCTCCTCACCTGGGACAGCCGTCGCGCCCCACAATACTGAAACCTCGTTCCTCACAGCGTCCCACGCAACGACACGGCAGGGCCGCATACGAAAGTCACCGTTTCTGTGCTCATAGATCCCTTCCGCGGGAAGGTAGCGGCCGCGCCCATTGTCATTATGACCCGCGATCTCCATCCACTCCGCGGGGTTGCGGCAGTCATACGAAGTATCGTCAAACACCTGCAGTGGAAGCTCCTGGGCATTTGTATTGGCGAGTTGCTTCAGTGTCAAGCCAGCAACCTCCACGAGGTGATTCACGTCATAGAACTCGTACTGTCGGCGTCGGCGCTCAATTTCAATTTTACGCGGGATGCGGCCGCGTTGGTGCTCAAACGGCACCTGCACCTTTGGCTCAAACGCCTCCTGGTGTGCGTCCGGAAAGAGTATCGCGGTTTCCTTGTAGGTTGCGCTCGTGCCTATTAGCGCGCGCGGCGGGCTGAGGCTTCGCGTTTCACTGCGCACGCTACTCTGCGTCACTGTTTGCTCGCCCCTACGCGAGCGGGCCGTGGACGGTTGCGGCAGCGGCGGCTTCGCCACACCCTGCGAGGGCCCCGCGGGGACCTTTGGATCTGGGCGCAGGTGGTGTTGAAGCATCCGCCCTGAGTGCCTGTACGCAAACAAAACGGCTCTATCGGTATTTATAAGAGGCACAGACTGTACACACACACACACACACAGAGAGCGGGAGAGAGAGAGAGAGAGATGAATTTTGATAATGAAAGTCAATAGAATGGGCATAAAACAAACACAAGCATTTATTCGTTCAGCTGTAAAAGGCTTAACCAAGCAGCCATCAACAACTGCACAAACAACTCTGGCGAGGAAGGTGCTTTGGGCTTGCACTTCTCCCGTGGCAAGCCACAGTCGAGTTCATCCAACGACCGAGCCGCCACGAGATCGGATGACTGAGACGGACGCAAGAATACGAAAAGGAAGAGCTGACACCACATCCAATTTCCTATACTCTGCGAGACAAACGAGTAATAGAAAGATACGATGGAACCAAAAACTTATGTGGGCCTCTTTGGTTGGCTGCAGACGCGTGAGATACCCCCCAACAAAAAAAAAACACAGAATGTGCTCGTGCGAGAATGAATGCGGCTACTGCCTTTATTAATCTTTTCGTGTCCTACTGGTGCTCTCCCACACCATTCCCCTCGCTGCTATGTCTTACCCACGAATCAGCTCTATAATGGCACTGGCCTCCGAGGACAACTCCTGGTTGGAAGCTCCCTCGCGTGCGATGGCCTCCAAAGCCGCCAGCAGCCACTGTGAAAGCTTCTGCACCTCCCGCTTGCGGCTGCGCTCGCATGAGTACCGGAGCGCGCGTAGGATGTGAAGCACCGCAGCAGGATTTCCGCGCGTGTCGGAAATAATCTCCCGCACACATTTGATGCCCGCAGCGGACATGAGGCTCTGCTGCGCCTCCGATGACATTCGGACGAAATAGAAAACACATGTCGCCGCCTTCTCAGCAGCTGTGCGCATCTGCGAACAGCACACCGGCAGCCATAGTGTTTCTAAGCCCCCCGGTAGGGTTAGGAGCTGAATGCACTGCTGCGCCATACGAGAGCCCATGTTTTGCACAGCCTGCTTCAGAAAGAAGGCGGCGATTTCACAACACGGGTCAAGGAGGTGGTCGAGATCCTTCGCCACCGCCATAGACAATGTCTTGAAGAGCACCGCAGTAATGAATTCCTGCGCCACCAAGTAGTCCATAAGGTCCGCCGCCCGCTCCGTCTGCAGCGCGAGCAACAACAGCTGGAGCGGCACTGACAGATCGGTCTGCCTCGAGCGCATCATGTAGCGCACCAACTCTCCCGTCACTTCCACAGTTGCGAGAGTCGCAAAAGCCTTGGGCCGTCGTTCACAGCATGCGGTGAGCAGGCGAATAGCGTGGATTGGGATAGGCTCACTCTCCTTTAACAACTCTGGCAGTGAGGCGGCCACTTTCTGCATTAGGTGGTCCAATGTCTCCCCTTCAACTATATTATCTTCCTTTGTCAGTCCCGTGTCATCACCGAGCGGCGCAACGAATGCACTCAGAATGCGCAGCGCAGAGAAGCGCCGCTCACTATCAGACCCGCTGATCATGCGCAAGTAGGGTGGGAAAAGCTCACTCGCCACAGCACGGCGGTGCCGGAGGGTCCGGTCGCAGTTTTGCGCGAGGAGCTCCACTAGTTTATTAAACTCTGGTTCGTATGCGGCATAGCGCGGCGATGAGAGCGCTTTCTCAAGGCACGTGCCAAGGCTCTTGAAGACACCGTCACCCAACTCGACCATAGTACCAATGTTGCGGGCGCTCATAATGTTGTACAATGCGTTAAGTGCGGTAAGCGTTGTGGACGACGACGCCCCACGCGCAATCTCCGCCAGTTGCGCTTCAAAGAAGACGCCAAGATAGCACGCCAGGCACGCCGCACAGCGCTGCACATACGAGTCCTTGTCCCGCACCACAGCATCAATGTACGCAACATGCCGGCTTGAGCACAACCGCGCCAGCAATTGCTCGTCCATACAGCCTAGAAGGATTAGCAGCAGCAGTGCCTTGCCTTTCATTGCGACCGATGCATGCTCACTGCCTTCACACAGTCCGCCTATCACGGACTCCGCGACGCTGCTTACTATTTTCAGCACCATCTCTGCCTTTTCTTGTGTCAGGCATGACGCAGCGAAGGAGCTCGTCGCCTCTTTCCCCCAAAGCGCCACAACTGGGTTCTGCACCCCAACGAGACCCTTCAAAACGACCATATTAAGAAACGTCAGCAGCGACTGCGCTGCCTTGGGTGCCACTGTCGCCGTCAATACCTCGCCGTATGATCCTATCTTCAGGTAGTTCGACTCCAGCACCAACGGCATAAACTCCTCCCGCAGCATCGCTAACTTTAGTGCCGCACACACCGCACTCGATCGCATGTGTTCACTGCGGGTGGAAGCAGGTGGGAGAGCGTAAATGGCAAGCAACGCCATCACCGTTTCTGGCTTTGCAAAGACGTCAAGCGCGACACCCTTGTCAGCTACGGACGCGAGGTTCTCTATTGTTTTGACTGCGTAGTGCTTTAGCACATCATCTGCATCCGACAAAATATTCACGTACATAACGAAAATAGCTGCAGGGTCAATACCCCACGCAGCACGATCGCGTTCTTGCTGGACAGCAATGTAGATGAGAAACTCCCCCAGACACGCCGCAAGCTTCCGCTTTACCCGCGGACTGTCCTCCTCACTGTAAACCTTCAAAATGGAAGAGAGAATGTTCGCCTTGGCGAGATCTGTGTGGATGTACGTGGCGTGGCGCACAAGGATACCCATGATAGAGGCGGCGGTGGCACGGTAACTAGATGGCGCCTTGCGCTGCGAGGCCATCTTGAGGCACAACATCATTACAGAACTGTTGACGATGAAGTTAGCAATAGAAGCATCGGTACATACGATTTCAAAGTAGAAAAGAACGTTTAACTTTTCTTCGAACCCTAATGAGGAAGACGAGAGTGTTCGGTATATTGTCGTGATAAATTGTGCCTGTTGTTGCTCATTAAATGTTTTCAGATCACTTCTTGACGGTGCCTCAAAGCCCAACGCATCGGGGTTGTATTTCTGTTCAACAAACCGCTCTATACGGCTATTCATTACGAGTGGTCGAATATGGGCATCAGAAGGGTGCACCAGAAGATCATCGAGGTGCAAGTTTTCTAGTCCACCGTCAATCGTTGGCACTTGCAAGATATTTATGTTGTTATCCTTCACTAATGTGCCTCCATCACCGCGTAACCGTTCCTTGTTTCGAAGAAAGTTTGAATGCGTCGCATTGACGGCACGAGCACCTGACCCTGCTGACACGCGCCGCTCAGTTCCCTGCCCGCTGCTGGAGGTCATGCCACCGTTCGCGCTGTCACCTACCGCCGTCTCAGACGGTGCGCTGTGATCCCGCAAGTCGATTTCGTCCGCGACTCCAGGGGACTTTGGTGCGCCAACCTCGCTGGTGAACTGTGACATGGTGTAATTGCGCTTGGCAGCGTCCACCGCCCACTCGACGTGTCTCCGCACCTCCGCGGCTGGCATGGGCCAACCACTGCCTGCTCTCTGCTGCTTCATGCTATCAAAGACCGGCTGAGGCGGAAAAGGGGCGGTGGGCAACTGCAACCGACCTTGCCAGAAGTCACTCGCCACAACGTCGACCCACGTGGCGCGTTTCAGTGGGTTCTTTACCAACAGGCTTTCCAGCAAGTCGTTGAGAACGTCTGGGGTCCCCTCATGCCGCCGGTAGGGCACCGCCATGATATTCGTGATGAGTGCCGTGAGGTCAGCACCTTCAAATGGCGGCTTGCCAGTGATCATCTCGTGTAGCAGGCAGCCAAACGCCCAGAGGTCGGAGGCCATCGACGGCACACCATCTCTGGTGAAGAGCTCCGGTGACATGTACAGAGGTGTGCCCACGGCCCCCTCCTTGTGCACGGCGCTAAAGTCGCGTGTGAGTCCAAAGTCATAGAACCGCATCGACATGGTAGAGTCCATCAGAATGTTTGACGGCTTCAAATCTCCATATACTGCGCCACGGGAGTGAATGTACATTAGGCCCTCGGCAATGTCGCCGCCAAACATCCGCACGGCTGCTACAGAGAGTCGGCTGTCGAGGCTCAAGACTTGCCGCATGTCACCACCCGTACAGAGCTCCGTGATTATCCAAAGATGATTGTTTGTCTCGTACCAGTTGTGGAACTTGATGATGCGTTGGTGGTGTGCGGAGCGGAGGAACTTCACGTTGGCCAGCACACGCTGGCGTTGAGACTTGTCAACGGATGAGATGGCATAGTACTCTATTGTCTTTTTTCGTCGGCCCTTGTATACGTTACTAAATCGACCTTTACCAACTTCATCATAGATTTGATAGTTGTTCATGATGCAGCTGCTGCTCACGTCTCCTTCAAGCGGCGATATCACACAGACACAAACACACGCTCGTCCTCTCTCTCTCTCTCTCTCTCTCTCTCCCGCGCACGCACTGTGGGTGAGAAGTGCAGAAGCCCCTCTGGACTACACCTTACCTATAGAAGCTGCAGCGTATGTGATAAGGGATTAAAAAACAACAACAAAAAAATGGAGTGACGGAGTATCGCAAAGGCGGGTGAAAATTGCACAGTGACGCAGTCCGTTAGTAGCGAAGCATACTGATATACACAGACCCACACCGAGACAGATAAAAACATTGGCAAAGCCGCCGACAGGCGACACAACGACGCAGAGCCAAGAAGACGATGTGAAGAAGGCAGCTGTGTGTCAGTCTCAACGCACATGGACCGTCACTCCCACCCCCCCACCCTCCACCCCTCCTGCAGCACAGCCTCCCGCTCTCGCCTCAACCCGCAAAGCAAACCTTGCGCGAGTGAGAGAAATATAGAGAGAGCGAGACACAATCGTTCTTGTGTAAGTCTCTCGTTGCCATTCTGCCAATTATAGAATTAGCCATATGTTGTAGATGTAGTTTTTCGGAGTAAACACAATCTCTCGGTTGTACAGTTGCTATCCACGCGTCGCCAGATGATTCAGCGCCTATATCAGCCCACAAGCTCAACTCTTAATCATGCTCGCTTCCTTTCTTTTTTTTTTTGTATTTTGTCCTTGTTCGTTTGCTTCCTTGCTCCTCGCTTCTCAGCCACCACGTTTCTTTTTCTATCTCACCCTCGTTCCCCTCGTCACTCTTGAGGCAGGCCGGCAGGCGATGGCAGCAAGTTCCATTTCCAACGTCTCATTCCGCACGTGCCATTGGACACTACCGTGCCAAATCATATCGCTGCTTCGCACGCCTCACGACCTGTGTGAGGTAGTGATAAAAGAAGTCAACATACAGCACCGTCTGCAGCACTCCCGCGCACACCGACACGTAGTTTACGCGACCGAAGACGGTGTAGCGATAGATCCAGTGGAGAAGATAAAAGAAGCGGTACGCCCCCATGGCTGCCAGGTAGTGTGACGTCAGCGCCTCGTAGCGTTCTGTGTACTCTAGCAAGAAGATCTGGGGCAGAATGGCTACCGATTCAAGATACTGCGAGAAGGCCCACAGGACATCCATCACCCACACACCACGAGGCTCACCGTGAAAGAGCAGCGCCAGGACAACGCACGGGATGATGAGGTAGCGAATGCGGAAGGTATCGTTCTCATGGTCGTACGTTGCCCTCCATGGGCTCTTGTTGCGCATCAGGTAGCAGATGTGCCACGATGTCGCCAAAAAGAATATCTTCATCACCGTGTTGTACAGCGAGAGGAACGTAAAGAGGTCGAGGTAGCGTGTTGTAAAGACGAGGGCAAACAGGAACTGAGTCTTGAGCGATAACCCAGCTGCAGAGCGTTGCCGCAGCATCTTCCCTAGCAAAAGGATGATGGCAAGAAGGTGCAGCAAGTCACCAAGAGTGCGTAGGATGTTCATTGCCGCTTCTTGTTCTATTTCCAAAACCCCTTGAACTGTATGTTGCCGCTTCACAATTCCTACGGCACAGATAGGCAAGAAAACCAGGGGAAAGAAGTTCATATGTTTCCACCACATGCGTTCATTCCTGCTGGAGATTCTCCTCTCAACAGTCGTGTTGATATATATATATATATATATATATATATATGTTGTTGCTTTTCTTGTTGTT